AAAATTAGATATCGTGATGATTGGAGAGTACTCCAAAAATCACTTTGCTTTTATTCTGTTGCTGATATTCTGTCTTGCCAACTCTAAACCACCAGCAATTTATAAAAAATATATTTTACACAGAATGGTGTGCTTTAATACAAGCAATACAAATGTCACTCAAATGTATTTATACATTTAGATCGCTTTCATGTGTCTTTTGTTGCCTGAATTTCATATACTTAACTGTACTGAAAACTTTTCATCACTGAACTCATATAAAGTGATGACATACCAGGCACCAATCCAGAACATATCTTCAGAATATTCAATAGGCGCTCTGCTGTATACGTAACATCATCTTCATCCTGCAAAAAAAAGTGTTCTTCTAACATTAGGGAGGAGAAATAAAGGACTGCAATTACTAGCCGTTCATCTCCTTTTCCACAGAGGAACTACAGGTGCTAAAATTGTGACATTTTTGAGCATTAATGCCTGCAACTATGTCACAATACCAATTGAAAAGCCACTTTCCACAGCACTTTAGAAATTGCAGCTTGTCAGATCTTGTATAAAACACTGAATGAGTAGAAAATATTTCAAGATGGCACTTCCCATATTTTGAGACAAATTATATCTTGTGTTCTTTCTTAAGCTGCCAAAAAAATATTACCTATTTTCTCTCCAGTGAGTCATTGGAGGTTAATTAATAAAGATTTATGTAGCTGGTGTGTAAAGATACCTCAGTCATATGCTAACTAGGTCTGTGTCATGTGCCTCTGATTGAACTTGGGTCCTTCAGCCTTTGGGCTGTGGCTCTGTTTGCTCTGCCACTGGGGAACCCGAGTCTTGCAGTATACACTTTACAGAGCACCCTCTGCTCCTACTACTCTCTAGCTTCACCTGTCCTCCAGCTGCAATCAATCCACAATCAGATCAGCTTAAATTGCAGGACTTCCTGTGGACTATGCATAATTCTACATTATACTGCTGAGCTACTGAACTTCTGGACTTTGACCCTCTGCCTGTTTCCTGGATTACTCCCCCCCTCCCCTCCAGTGTTAGTGATTCTTACTACTCTGTATAATCAAGGGGAAGATTTAACAGCTTGAAAAAACACAAAAAACAAAGGGATGACAGATGGAAAGGCCCAGGTTGTATGGGTGCAAGCACATGCATGTAAGTCACATCATAAGTTTATATATAGACATATACTGCATATGTAAAGGGTCTATAGACTTGTTAAAATATGAACAGAAAAATTTAGTATGCAGAAGAACATGGGGACCTGACCTCAAATTAGCAGAAGGAAAGTTCAGAACTAATCTTAGAAAAGTATTAATTTACCAAAAGAGAAGTGCTTGGAATAGACTTCCAGCAGAGGTAGTGAATCTGTCCCAAGCATGTTTGAATTCACTTATGGTTGACTAACAGATCTATACTCCGAAAAAAAAAAAAAAAAAAAAAAAAAAGGGTCAGACTGCATGAACCACTTGGTCTTTCCTCTGCCACACTCTTGTGTTTTTCTATGTAGGGATTTAAAGGACTGCATTGTATTATTTTGTAAATGCTCTATTGGATTTGTCATCAGTTGCTGGGATCCAATAAATGCTACACTCTAGAAAATAACCAATATTAACTGGAACTTGCTTGAAGAATTTGCATTCTATACCCACATTCCTATTCCCATACATTATATTAAGCATACATGTATGACAACACTTACATGCCTGGACATGGGTAGAGATAATACAGAGAACAAGGTCTTTCAGAAGCTATGCTCTCAGAACCTGGGTTTCAATAACTATGGCCTAAAAGCCAGGAATTGAGAAGCAGGGTGAAAAACTTCCTCACCAAAACATAGGGTCTAGGGGTAGGAGGCCAAGAGGTGTCTACAAATAAAATCATGTTATGTTCAGTCAGCAGCTATCAGACTTGGGAAACCTCTTCTGAATGGATTCTATGAAATAGAATAGGAAGAAATGTCCATGAGGGAAAAACATAGATTAGAGAGTGCAGAAACTAAGTCTGCTAGAGGATATCTTCACCTGGCTTATGAACACTTTAATTGTGATGGGATGTCAATAAACTCTTCCAGGCAGACAGACCATTCTGCAGAGTCAATGTGTTGCAACTTTGATAGTCTGCTTTTTAGTTTTCTGTGTATTCAACAGATGGCCTTTAAATTGCAAGATCCAAAGAATAAGTGACATGTAGGTGGAGTGGGTGTCCAATACACAGGACAGTTTGGACCTTCCTAGCATGAACTCACTCTTTATTGAAGGAGAGACAAGAACTCTTCCTCAATAGGAGAGCCTTATATACAGTTGTGTTCAAAATAATAGCAGTCAGACATCACTAACCTGATCAATCACTGTTTTTGGAATAAATTATATTTCTACATGGCAAATAATTTACTAGCAGGTGTAGTAGAGTAAAAAAAATCCAACAGACGCAACAGTCATGACATGCATGCTGCTGATTCTGTGTAATTGAATCACTAATTGAAAGGGGCATGTTCAAAATATTAGCAGTGTGGAGTTCTATTAGTGAGGTCATTCATTATTTGAAAAACAGGTGGCAATTATTGCCCTTATTTAAGGAAGGAAGGCAGCAAATGTTGTACATGCTGGTTACAGTGCATTTCTCTCTGAAATTCTGAGGAAAATGGGTCGTTCCAGACATTGTTCAGCAGAACAGCGTACCTTGATAAAAAGTTGATTGGAGAGGGGAAAACATATAAAGAAGTGCAGAAAATGATAAGCTGCTCAGCTAAAATGATTGCAAATACTTTAAAATGGCAACCAAAACCTGAAAGACGTGGAAGAAAGCGAAAAAACTACCATTTGAATGGATAGAAGAATAGCCAAAATGGCAAGGGACTCAGCCAACAATCAGCTCCAGGAAGATCAAAGAAGGTCTAAAGTTACCTGTGAGTACTGTTACAATTAGAAGACGCCTATGTGAAGCCAAGCTATCTGCAAGAAGCCCCCACAAAGTCCTACTGTTGAAAAAAATACATGTGAAGAGGTTACAATATGCCAAAGAGCACATTGACTGGCCTAAAGAGAAATGGCGCAACATTTTGTGGACTGATGAAAGTAAGATTGTTCTTTTTTGGGTCTAGTGGCCGGAGACAGTTTGTGAGACAACCCCCAAACACTGAATTCAAGCCACAGTACACTGTGAAGACAGTGAAGCATGGTTGTGGCAAGCATTATGATACGGAGATGTTTCTCATACTACGGTCTTGGGCCTATTAATCGCATACCAGGGATCATGGATCAGTTTGGATACATCAGAATACTTGAAGAGATCATGCTGCCTTATGCGGAAGAGGAAATGCCCTTGAAATGGGTGTTCCAACAAGACAACGACCCCAAACACACCAGTAAACGTGCAACACCTTGGTTCCAGACCAACAAGATTGACGTTATGGAGTGGCCAGCCAAATCCCCGGATCTTAATCCAATAAAAAAACTTGTGGGGTGACATCAAAAATGCAGATTCTGAGGCAAAACCAAGAAATAGAGAAGAACTGTGGAATGTAGACCGATCATCCTGGGCTGGAATGCCTGTTCACAGCTGCCAGAAGTTGGTTGACTCCATGCAACACAGAAGTACAGCAGTTCTCAGAAACAGTGGTTATACACTAAATATTAATTAACCTAATTAAGTGATTCAAAGGAAAGCAAAATCTTCAAACATTTTTCAGTTTATATAGTGAATGTTTAAGTTTGTAAAGAAGAATACAAACACTGCTATTTTTTTGAACAGTCTAATATTCACTTTTCTTCAATTTTTTTTTGGAGGAACAACACAAATTTGATATATTTGTCTTCATGTTTTGATTTGAAATAGAATGTGTAGTGTTCCCAATGCATTTGTGTGTATGGAAATAAAAGCTATTAAAAGGATTTTGAGCTTTATTCACTTTTTTCAACACACTGCTATTATTTTGAACACAACTGTATGTGGTGAGAATCTTCCAATAAAGTGGAAGAAATTAGTGGCCCTCAGATACCATCGGCAACCGAAGCCTTCACAGCAGAGATGAATTGGTTTAAGCGAAGCGATGAATCTTACTATCCAGGGACTGCTCTATCTGAACATAATATTTTCTTGGAATGGTCTGGTGTAAAACTTCACAAAGGGGATTGCCTCAAATAGGAGAGACAATTAGTATCAGGACTTGCATTTAACTACTAGAAGACAAGTGGAATGGAATGTGAATAACTGTGTGATCTGGACAATCTTAATAGTTTCAGCCTCTTTGGAGTAAGAAAGACCTTCGCCACCCTGGTGTCCAGCATCAGGCCCAAATAATTAGATATTGAAATGGAACTAGGAAGGATTTCGAGTCGTCATCAGTCACTCAAAGCACTGCAGGGAATACAGTGCAGTTTGCAGGCTTTGGCCAGAGGTCCTAAGCAAAAGGGGTTTTGGTGATCAGAGTATCGTGGGTAGGGGTTCACAGAGATTCCCCCTGGAATTCCACTGCCAGCACTGTAGCCAGACCCCTGCCTTGTAAAACAAAGCAAACGCCTGTGCACAGCCTATGCATCACCTGGGGGCAGTGAAGCATCAGTGAATAAATAAGTCTAGGGCACTGGTATGACACTGAACAAATGTTGGCTGCTGTGGTGAATATCCAGGATGTAAGGGACAATATGACTCTGCCAGCAACTGCTAATGGCAGAATCTTTAGCTTTAACATATTGATATAGAGATTTCTTATGGTGGTATTTAACCACTTGACTACCAGGCACTTTCACCCACTTCCTGCCCAATGCCAATTTTCAGCTTTCAGTGCTGTCACACTTTGAATGACAATTGCAGTCATGGAACACTGTACCCAAACCACATTTTTATTTTTTGAGACAGATAGAACTTTCTTTTGGTGCTATATAATCACCACTGGGTTTTTTTTTTGGCTAAACTAAAAAAATACAACAGTTTGAAAAAAAAAGTTTTTCTTAGTTTCTTTTATAAAATTTTGTAAATAAGTAATTTTTCTCCTTCACTGATGGGTGCTGATGAGGCTGCACAAATGGGCACTGATAGACAACATGATAGATGGAACTGATGGGTACTAACAGGAATCATTGATGGGCACTGATATGCAGCACTGACAGGTGGCAATGATGAGTACTGATAGACTGCACTGATAGGCATTGACAGACATCACCAATGGGCACTGAAAGGCAGCACTGACTTGCACTGATAGGTTGCAGCAATGGGCAGTGATAGGCAGCACTGACAGACTGCACTGATGAGGAGGCACTGACAGGCATCGCTAATGGGTACTAATATGCAGCATTGATGGACACTGATATTTGGCATTGATGGGCACTGATCGGTGGCAATGATGGGCAGTGAAAGGGCAGCACTGCTGGGGCTACACTGATCATCAGTATCCTGATTATCAGTGTAGATGTCCCCTCTGAGTAATGCCACTTACCTGCTATCCTCTCACGCTGTCAGCATGAGGAGAGGACTGCCGATAACAAGCATTTTTTGTTTAAATGTGATCAGCTGGGATTGGAAACTGATCATGCTGATCATATGGTAGAGCCTACATCAACGGCTCTTTACAGGGATTGGTGATCTGCTGTGTTCTAGGGACACAGTGCACCACCGATTGGTGCACATGTGCAGCTAGAGTGGGAGGACGTCATATGACGTCCTCCCAGAACAAGAGCGCTCCCGCATGTCCGTCATTTCCCTATACGGCGGGTGAGAGGTGGTTAATCACCACTGGGTTTTTCATTTTTTTTGCGCTATAAACAAACAAAAAGACACATTTTTTTTTTAAATAAAATGCATTTTTCTTTGTTTGTGGAGAAAGATTTGCAAAATGTTATAACAGAAAGTGAGGCCAAACTGTATTTTGCTACGTCTTTGGTAAAAATAACCCAAAACAGTATTTATTTGGTAGGAAACTTATAGAATCCACAAACTATGGTATATATCTAAAAATTGATAAATCCTGATGTACTGATAGCTGATCTAATTTTTGGAGGCCCAAAAACACCAGGACAGTACAAATACCCCCAAAATGACCACTTTTCGGAAAGTAGTCTGTGGTATTTAGTAAGAGGCATGGCGGTTTTTTTTTAAGTTGTCATTTTATGTCATAGTTTTGTGGAAAATGATGAAAACATTTTTTTCACAATTTTTTTGTTTTTGTTTTTAAACATACTGTCACCAATGCAGTACAGCATCCTCATATAACTGGTGCGGGAGTGATCAAGGACACTGATTGAGAGCAATATGTAAAAAAAAAAAAAAAATAAACTTTTTAAAATGTATTACTTTAATGATTTTTTTTCTACTCCTGTGACCAGAGCAATACAATATTACGATAGTAACATTGTACTACTCTGGGTATGTGAACAGGTTTTTTTTTTGGTTTTTTTTAACACACATTATAGTTGCTTGTATACCATCTAATTTTATTGGTATAAGCAGCTATTTTTACTGAATGAAACTGATTAATTCAGTAGTTTTTGTTGTGATCAGCTGTGATTGCCCATAGTTGATCACATGCTACAGATGGGCTGTGATTGGACACAGTGATCACATGTACAGACTAGATCAATCATAGCTCGCAGCACAGTTGTGAGCAATGAATGGCATGCAAGGAAGTTCACAGCGATCACACGACACTGGCAGCAAGGCCGGTGTAGTGATCTGTCATCGGCTGTGTCCTATCCTCCCACGATAATAGGGTTCCCACTCAGCCATCATATTGCAATATGTCAATAAGTACCATAATAGTAAACCCTTACCACAGAGAAGGCTGCTCTAATTTTAGTTCTGGCTTCCTTGCTCCACAGATGTTGAGCTAAAAAAGCTCTACACAAGTGCTATGAGTTCTCATTTAGAAATGTACATGGTTTACTATACGTACGTACATCAAACTCAGACTGAATCAACAAGCTCAAGTGTTTGTCTGCAAGATCTTCCACTGTGGTTATATCTACTACACAGTGCTGAACTGATCCAGGTTTTCCTAAAAACAATAAACATGGCATCAATTACTTTTGAAACAACCGTAGAAGTATATCACATTAAAATGACAAAAACATGATTATACCTCTTATAGCCAGAAAACAAATTTTTCCAAGAAAGAAATAGGCATCCAAATGCATCATGGAAGACAGAATATTGTTGAGGCTGAAAAAAAAAAAATAGAGGGAAAAGTTCTTAAAAAGGGAGAAAGTCAGAACAGGGAAAATTAAAATAACAATTGCAAATACATACTGTACTAGCAAACACCAGATTTCTGATCACTACTTTAAATAACCTATAAAAGGTATCCCTGAAAATAATATATTATTGATCAGAGACTACATATACATAAACCCTTTAACAGAAATGCATCTACCAGCCACTGTTCAACTGCTTACTGCAAACTGAACAAGATCAATCATACCCTACACCAAATGTAGCTCCTAGATATATGGAGAGCTCTGCATCCCACTGTGAAAAATGTGACATATTATTCCACAGTACATATACAGTGGGGAAAATAATTATTTGATTGCCTGCAGATTTTGTCAGTTTGCCCATTTACAAAGAAAGCAAGGGTCTATCATTTTTATCATAGGTGTATTTTAAATGATAGAGACAGAACAACCAAAAATCCAAAAAAAACCATGATACAAATGTTAAAAATTGAGTTGCAGTTCAGTGAATAAAATAAGTATGTGATCCCCAAGCAAAATATTACTTAATACTTGGTGGAGAAACCTATGTTGGCAAGAACAGAGGTAAGACGTTTCTTGTAGTTGGCTACCAGGTTGAGCACACATCTCAGTAGGGATTTTGGTCCACTCTTCTTTACAGATCTTCTCTAAATCCTTAAGGTTTCTTGGCTGTCGCTTGGCAACTCGAAGTTTCAGCTTCCTCCGTAAAATTTCAATAGGATTAAGGTCTGGAGACTGGCTAGGCCACTCCATGACCTTAATGTGCTTCTTTTTGAGCCACTCTTTTGTTGCACTGGTGGTATGTTTTGAGTCATTGTCATGCTGGAAGACCCATCCACAACCCATCTTGTGTTCTGGCTAAGGGAAGAAGGTTCTCATCCAAGATTTTACAATACATAGCCCCATCCATTGGCCTCTCAGTGCAGCAAAGTTGGCCTGTACCTTTAGCAGAGAAACAGCCCCAAAGCATACTTTTTCCACATCCAATGTTTCCTCCCGTGTTGTTCTGGGCTGATCCCTCACTTTTCTCATGATTATACTTACCCCATGACGCGAAATCTTGCAAGGAGCTCCAGACCGAGGGCGACTGATGGTTATTTTTTATTTCTTCCACTTACGAATAATTGTGCCAACAGTTGTCTCCTTCTCACCAAGCTTCTTGCTGATGATCTTGTAGCCCACTCCAGCCTTGTGCAGGTCTACAATCTTTTCCCTGACGTCCTTTGACAACTCACTGATTTTGCCCATAATGATGATAAGGTTTGAATGGAAGAAAGGGATTCTGTGGACAGGTGTCTTTTATACACATAACGAGTTGTCGTTAGGAGCACCTTCTTAAATTGACAGGACTAATCTACGTATCACATAGCCAGTCTGTGGGAGCCAGGATTATTGTTGGTTGGTAGGGGATCAAGTACTTTGTTTTACTCACTGAAATTCAACTCAATTTATAACATTTGTATCGTGTTTTTTCTAGATTTGTGGTTGATATTCTATGTCATTTAAAATACGCCTATGATAAAAATTATAGACCCTTAATTTCTTTGTAATTAAGCAAACTTACAAAATCTGCAGGGGATCAAATTAATTATTTTCCCCACTGTATCCTGTTATAGAGTAGGTGTGGTATTCATCAACCACTTCCATTTTCTTTGGGTCATTTCTGCCATATTTCAAAATATCACATTATCTGACCATACTCCGGCTAGCGTAAATATGACAATTGGCAGCAACCCCCAAAACCCTATAACTGAAGACTGAATGGAAATCTTGAAATTATATTTCTAGACTCTTTCAATAATCAATTTTTATTGCGAGAGAATGCCATTAAAAAGAACAACGCCTGCAACATTTGGCCAAAAAGTCAAATCAAAAAAGACAATATACAGTATTTTAGTATAGGCTGGGAGAGATCTAACAGTGCTGTGTCTAATATAGCGTGACACATTTGAATGGAATTTGAATGGCAGTGGGACTAGTAGGTAGCTAGCAAAAGGGAAGAGGGGGAGACCTCAATTTTAGATTAATCACTTCTGGACCGCCTGCCTGCCCGCAATGTACTGCAGATGGGCGGCCCGTACAGGCAAAGTGCCGTACTGGTACATTGCTACCGACAATCCACACAAGGCTCTGTTCAGTGAGTCCAATAATATTGACTTCCAGCATTCACCGAACGTATAAACACCACCTGTGTCAAACCTCCGTATGGTACAATTTAAATCTCACTGCAAACGTATGCTGTCTAACATTAGAACAGCAACGAGGCCTGTTTTGTAAGCTTCCCACATGGCTTACTCTCTCCACAAATAATGGGATAAAAGGAATCCACTCCTCCGAGGATCAGTGCCAGTGCTCACATTGGTTGGTTTAAATATTCTATCTGCAAAAGAGAGGTGTAGCTATGGGGGTGGAATTTGCCCCTGGTTTAGCTAATCTTTTAATGTCAAAATGGAAGAGGTTATTTTTGATAGGCAACGAGACAATTTACTTTTATACAAACGAAAAATTGATTATGTCTTGTTACTATCAAGAGGAGATGAGAAATCAATGAACTTTATGTCTCACTTGAACAATAATGACCAGAATATAAATTTGACCTACACTTATAGTAAGTAGGAGGTGAACTTTCTGGATTTAAATGTAAAAATAATTGATGGAGAAATTTACACCAAATCTTTCTTTGACCGCCTCCCACCAACCATATAAGGAAATATACGTCATAGTATGTCCTCACACTCCAACCGCGCGTGCCGGGGGCGTGCACTCTAACCAGGGGAACGCAGCATGGCGATCGGTGGTGCGTTGTGTTCCTCGGATCAATTGCTCTGTCATGTGATCAGCTGTGTCCAATCACGGCTGATCGCTTGTAAATAAAGAAATGCCGGTTATCAGCATTTCTCTCCTCACGAGCTGTCATGCTGACAGCTCAAGAGGAGAGCCGTTAATCGGCATTCCTCAGAGGGGACATGTACACTGATCATCAGGGCACTGATGATCAGTGTAGCCCCAGCAGTGCCACCTGTCAGTGTCCATCAATGCCAGCTGTCAGTGCTCATCAATGCCACATATCAGTACCCATCAGTGAGTGCCACATATCAGTGCCTACCAGTGCACATCAATGCCAAATATCAGTGCCCATCAATGCCACATATCAATGCCCATCTGAGCTGCCTTTCAGTGCCACCTATCACTGCTGCCAATCAGTGCCAGGCCGTGCCGCCTATCAGTGCCAGTCCGTGCTGCCTATCGGTGTGCACCAGTGCCCGTCAGTGCTGCCTATCAGTGCCACCTAACAGTGCCTCCTCATCAGTACCGATTAGTGCCACCTATTAGTGCCCATCAGTGCAGCCACATTAGCACACATCAGTGAAGGAGAAAAATCACTTAATTACAAAATTTTATACCAACTAAGAAAAAAAAGTTATT